GCAAAGTAAGCTAATTGTTCCTCTCTTCTTGATCTGTGAAAGTGCCTTTCATTCTGAACCTCTATCATACTTATACCTATCATATATATAGAGAGAGAATTTTAGCCTAATCCCGTTTTTGGACATAGGAGAATGAAGGCGAGGTCACCTAGCCATGTCAATCCTGGATCTTCTTGCTGCTTCCCTATCAAGCTGTTGGTGAAAGAACAGCCCTTCATATACTCTTCACGAAGTTGGAATTTACAGTCTCCATGGGAACCAGGTCCCAGATAAGAGATCTATCCATGCCACAAGCAGGTCAGTCATATCTTTATTTTGCACAGCCCAACCACATATATTATTAAGTAGCTACTAAGTACAAGTGACTATGAAGGGAACCAGAGATACAGTGACAAAAATGAAACATTCTTTGCCATCATTCCAATTTCTCTCTTTCTGTGGAGGGCACCATTATCCTTCCATTCAGGTTAATGACAGTAGCAGGTGTTTCATCCCTGCAGGGAACCAAGAAGCCGGAATTTCCCATAGTAGGAAAGGGAATTTTCAGATGTTGGGAAGGAATGAGATCTGTGTATGGGTATTCAAATCCAGGGTTCTCTTTTTCTTGTGTTACCCTTGAAAGACTTCTTCCTGTCCTACTTGGCAGGTGGAGCACAGAGGCACTGAGCAGCTGTGACGATAGGGTTGAGCTGTAGAGATTTGGGATTTCCTGGTTACCATGCTGGGAATGGCAATGGGGAGGGGACCAGAGAGCTGTTGCAATTAGATTGAGGCTTCTTGCTTAAAAGTGAGGAAAATAAAACTGAATTTGGAAACAGGAATTTCAAAAGGAAGTGGCACCCTCCTAGAGAATTGGGGGGGAGGGTTCCTAAATGCACAGTGAGGGCTAGAGTTATGGATTTCTTATTTTCAACAATTCGGGGTAATATTCCAAATCATCTAGCTAAATTCCAAATCTAGTCAGCATCACCAATCTGCTCAGTACCCTGAGGTGAGGGAGCCAATTAAGCTCTGCACGCAGAGTGCCTTCTGGTCGACATAGGGGATACTGAGAGCTTTTGGGAAACTAGCAACCCAACCCTTAGCATGATATTTGGCACATAGCAAGTGCTTAATAAATGCTTTAATTCATTTATATTGCACTCCCTGTCAGTTAATAAACATTTATTCACCAAAAGGCAAACTAAGCATTGAGGATACAATGAAAGGCAAAAGACAATCTCTGCCCACTTAATGGGTGTGACAACATGCAGACAACTAGGTACACATAAGATAGAGACAAGATACATTGGAAATGATCAACAGAGGGAAGGCACTAGTAGAATTGAGGGGAATGGGGAGAGACTTCAAAAGAATGAGATGGGATTTTAGTTGGGACTTGAAGAAAGCCAGGGAAGCTAGGAGGCAGAGAGAGATGAGGAGGGAAAGCATCCTAGGTAAGGAGGACAGCTAGCAGAAACTCAGAGTTGTGAGATAGAATGTCATGAGTCAGCAGCATGGAGGCCCAGTGTCATCAGATTGCAGAGGACTTGGGTAGGGGCTGTTAAACCATTTATATCAGAGGTTCCTAAACTCATTTGGCCTACCACCCCCTTTTAAAAAAAAATTACTCAGCGCCCCCCCGAAATCTACTTTCTTTAACGCTTTAACAATTTTTTTTGAAATTTGTGCCATTTCAAAAAATATAAAATATATTTTTTAAAAATGACGCATTTAAATTTAACAATTTATTGTAAATTTGTGGGATTTTTTCCTGCATTGAAATTTTGATGACACAATGTTGTGTCATGTAACCGTGTAATATTGTATTGTAAACAAGTCATTACACACACACACACACACACACACACACACACACACACATATATTCCTGCCCATGCATGCTGGACTTCCCCACAATGCGTCATTCACTTGCCTGCCAAAACTTGCTTGTTAAGACCTGTCAATGGACTTGACCACTGATGGATTATAACTTGGATTTTTTATGTTTATTTGGAAAATAATGTAATCACTACAAATTTAACTCTATTATACAACAGATGAAACACATAACAACGGCTTTTCAAAAATTTCTTCTCTTGGGGCAGCTAGGTGGCACACTGGATAGAGATCTGGCCTTGGGATCAGGAGGACCTGAGTTCAAATGCGGCCTCAGACACATGACACTTACTAGCTGTGTGACTCTGGGCAAGTCACTTAACCCCAATTGCCACACCAAAAAAAAAAAAAGATTCTCTTTTCTTCTTTCCTTATGCTTCCACAACTACCTTATTTTTATTCAATGCCCCCCAATTGTACCTGAGGCTACTACTGTCCCCACCCTGGGTGGTTCGAGCACCTTCCAGGGGGTAGTATTGCCCACTTTGGGAACTCTGAATTTTTATATAATGGCAAATTGTCTTTATGTAAGCTTAAGGAAGGCAGCCCACAAATACTTTGGACTGCTCCCACAGAAGGGCCACTTTTGCAGTGCCCCCCAAGGGTCACATAGCATATATAGCAAAATATATTTTTATTTTCAGGAGCAGAGTGACTTGTGGAGTCACAGTTGGGGTAGAGAAATGCCCACCCTGGAATTTACTTCTAAACATTTCTTAGTTTTGAGCTGAATTGTGTTTGTCCACACAGATGTCATTACTTTGCAATGTCTCACATTGTTTTCTTCTGAGGAAACTTTCAGGCCTCCTAGGTTCTCCATAGGAATGAAATAATGGGGCAGAAATGATCCACTATACAACCTAGTAGTCAGTCAACAAGCATTTATTAAATGCATACTATGTGATAGGCACTGCTCTAAGCACAGGGTCTATAAAGAAAGGCAAAAAATAATCTCTGCTCTCAAGGAGCTCACAGTTTAATGGGGGAGGCAGCAAGCTATATACAAAATAAATTGGGGGTAGTCTCAGAAGAAAGGCAGTAAGATTAAAGAAGCCTGGGAAAAGCTTCTTGTAGAAGGTGAGGCTTAGCTGAGATTTGAAGGAAGCTAGAGAAGCCAGGAGGTGGAGATAAGGAGGGAGAGCTGCCTAAAGGGGTGTCTGGATAGATATCTCTGGAATCTTGCCTACTCCTCTCCAAGGGATACTTTGATTCCTATCTAGAAGGGAGCAGAAGGAGCCTTGAGACTGGTCATGCTGTTCTCTGAGAGACAGTTACAAGCCTGGAATTACATCTGTCTCCCTATCCCCACTTCCCCCTTCTCCTCCATATATTATTGTACTAGGATAATATTTTTAGGTTTAACTCTCTTTCCTAGTTGCTATTCTTTAAAGGGGGAAGGGATATGCCAAGCTTACATCTGCAGCTTGACTCACATTACACAAAAGACTATCACACACAGTGGATGGGGAGTAAAATCATTTATACAAGCAGAAATCAGAGAATATATACAGATTAGAATATATAAAAAAAATAGAGTAAATGAGTTCTACTGGGAGCAAGATATCTTAGCTATCTACTGAAAGAAGCCCTAATCTCTCCCAGGAGAAATTCCCTTAAATCTCTCTCTCTTAAAAAACACTTTGATAACTGTTTCAATATAATTGGGGAATAATCATACTGTTTAAATGGAAGAGCTTGAAACCAGCCTGGAAGCATGAGTTGGAGCCAGATGGCGGAGATCTTGGAATGCCAGGTTGAAAATTTCTATTACTTGCCAAGAATAAGGCCCAGGAAGAAAGACTTGCCCCAAATTACTATGTCAGAATAAAGTAGCATGGATGTTGTTCATGAATGATTAGAGAGCCTAGATTAGGGGTGGGGAACCTGCAGCCTTCAGGCCATACATGGCCTTCTAGGTACTTGGGTGAGGCCTTTTGCCTGAGTCCAAATTTTACAGAACAAATCCTTTTCTTAAGGGCAGTTTTTCTGTGAAGTTCGGATTCAAAGGGCCTTGCCTGAAGACCTATAGGGCTACATGTGGCCTCAAGGCTGAAGGTTCCCCACCTCTCGACTAGATTGATTGGGGTGGGCACTGTAGAAACAAATCCTATTCCTTGCCTAATATCTGACATTTATGTGTAGAGTTTCATTCGGACTTTACAATAATCTTTATTGTTGCTGTTCAGCTTTGTCTGACTCTTCATGCCCCGAGTTGGAGTTTTCTTGGCAAAGATACTGGAGTGCTTTGCCATTTCCTTCTCCAGGTCATTTGACAGATGAGGAAACTGAGGCAACTGGGGTTAAGTGACTTGCCCAGAATCCACAAAGATAGTTAAGTGCATGAGGCTAGATTTGAACTCCGGTTGTCCTGACTCCAGGTCCAGCACTCTATCCAGCGCACCACCTGGTACTTAGAGGTGTGATTATCTCCATTTTACTAAGGAAGAAACAGACTCCAGAAGGGTTAAGTAACTTGCCCAAGGTCACACAGCCATTACGGGTGTGTGTGTCTGTGTGTATCTGTGTGTGTATCCTCCCAACTTAAAAATCTTAACCTTCTGCCACGCCTGGGGGGTAGGGGGTCACCTACTCCAACCTAGTCCAACTCTCTCATTTTACTGATGAGGAAACTGAGGCCCGGGGAGGCGGGACTTGCTCAAGGTCATAAGCACAAAGCAGCTTAAAAGTTAAAAGGAGTTAAAATGCCCGCCCAGTGGGCACGAGGCAGGTGGGGGAGAAGGGAAGCGGCTGGAGCAGCGGTCACAAAGAAGAGTGGTCCACGAGGGGCTGGCCCCTCTCGGAATTCTGGGAACTGAAGGTCCCCTTGTCCTTCTCGAGCTTACGTGCACTCCGTGACCATCTCCTCGCACATGCGCACTGACGCCCTCGGAGGGTTTCCCGGTAGGCGTTGAAGTTGGCCCCGGCTGGCTAGGGAGGGGGGCGCATGCGCAGACCCGCCGAGTTACAGGCTTGAGATGAGAGAGCGGAAAGATTTAGGGAAGAGCGCGATCATGTCGCGGCGGGGCCGGGGCGAAAAGAGCCTCAGTGCGCAGGCGCGAAGGCGGGGCGAGGGCGGGGCGGGCCCGGGATTGAGGAGCCGGCTGGCCGCGAGCTCCGCCTGAATCTCAGTGCGTGCTCGCCTGTCTGCCGGTGTCCACGGTAGCTGCTGCCTCGAGCCTCTGCCTCGCCATGGCCGCCTACAAGCTGGTACTGATCCGGCATGGAGAGAGCGCCTGGAACCTGGAGAACCGCTTCAGCGGCTGGTACGACGCGGACCTGAGCCCCGCCGGGCACGAGGAGGCCAAGCGCGGCGGCCAAGCCCTGCGAGGTACCGGGCCGGACCGCGGGAGGGCCCGGGAGGTGACCTGGGCGGGGGGCAGCGACCTCGGGGCAGGGGGCGCGTGAAGGGGATCTAGCCTCCGCTTCCATCTCCATCCCAGGCCCCCCCCCCCGGGCATCAGGGTTGTTCGTTTTACAGACGGGGAAACGGAGGAAACCGAAGGACTCCCCTCCCCCACTCCTCCATCTCCCCCATCCCCCTCTCCCTCTATCCTCATTCTACATTATCCTCATCCCAGGCCGCCACTGGGGGTGTTCATTTTACAGATGGGGAAATGGAGGAAACTGAGGGAGCCCCCCCCTTCCATCATTATTCCCCTCCCCCTATATCCCCATCCCACCTCCATCCCGGGGCCTCTCCTGGTTTATTTGTGAGCTCTTTCATTTTAATGGGGAAAACCAAAGGGCCCTTATCCCCCACTGGGTTTCTTTTTATAGATGGGGAAATGAAAAGTCCTCCATTTCCCATTGTCTCCATCTCCCACTATAATCCCCATCCTCATCCCATTTTCATCCTAGGGCCTTTATTATGGATTGTTTCATTTTATATTCGAGAAAACTGACCACCCCCACCCCCCATTCCACCTCCATCTTATGGCTCCTCAGGTTATTAAGGGGCAATTTTATTTTCAGGTGGGGAAACTGAGGAAGCTGGAACCACCTCCCTCCCTAGGGCCTTACAGATGGAGACACTGAGGGAACTGAACCTACCCCTTCATCTCTATCTCTGCCTCTACCCTGGGGTCTCCCATGGTTATAAGCTGTTTGATTTTACTGATGGAGAAACTGAGGAAATGGGAGCCCTCAATCTCCATATCACCTTCCCTTCTCCCATGTGTTAAGGGCTGTTTCATTTTATAGCTGGGGATAGGAAAACTGAAGCCCATATCTCCCCTCCCCATCCCTGGCTGCTCCCCTGGGTTATCCTTACAGATGGGGAAACTGAGGTCATGGACCCTGAGGTGGAGTAGGTGCTGGTTTTTCATCCCCAGAGCAGAGCCCTTCATTTTGGGATCTGGTTTTAGGAGCTCTTTCCAGGTCTCCATAGGCAGAGATCCTGGGATCCATCTCCACCATGTGGTGGACAGACTTTGAGAGGGCCTTGGAGGCTTTGGAAAGAGGATAGAGGTACCAGACCTCTGACCCAAGGAGGTTCTGGTTAGTCACAGGGCTATGTAATGATGCTGTGATCTAGTCCAGTCTACTTTACTGGTGAGGAAACAGCCCCAGAGAAAGGTGCTGAAAGTGCCCAAGGTCATACAGCCATTTTATGGTAGAAGTAGGTCTAGAACCCAGGTCCTGTCCAGTGCAATCACCACTCCTCAGTACAGGCTCTTGGTTGAAAAGTAGTACTAGGTCAGGGAAGGTGACCCAGGCTATCACAACCATCGGCTTGCAGCTTGACTCCCATTATCTGGGGGAGGAAGGGGTGTCGTTAGGAAGAAGGCTTTGTCAAGGACAGTGGGCAAAGGCGGATGTGTGGGATTCTCTGTGCTTACATGGGGTTTTTCTTTTTCCAGAAGACTCGGCCCTGTGTGACTCTGGAAAACTAACATATTCTTATGGCTCAGGAATCCAGAGTAATTTAAGTTAACAAGCATTTATTAAGTAGCTACTATGTGCCATGCCCTGTGCTAAGGAAACAAAAGCAAAAAAAAATAGCACCTGTTCTGAAAGAGTTCATGGTCTAATGGGTTTAATTCCTGTGCAAGGCTGCTGGTGTGGGTCTGTGTGTGTCCATTGATGTTTGTCCTTATGTCCCGGTCTCTTCTCTCTCCTCATCTCAGAAGAGTACCATTCAAAAGGGTTATTGGCACATGAAGGAGAGGTGTATTTGGAGCAGTCATTTGGCTCCTTGCTCTCACTGTTAGTTCTTGTCTTCACAGAAGGCCCTTTTGAGAAGAACTGGAGCTCTGGAAAATCTGGGAAATAATCCTGCTTTTGAAGTGGGAAGTGTACATAACATTAGGGTGGGTCTAATGTGACCATATCATCAGTTAGTAAATGGGAGAGGCCCGAGAATTTGCTATGGCTGTGAGAAATCAGAGGTACTGGTGAGGTTGGCACCATTTTCTTTAGCTCTAGCAGAGAGAATAGGACTACTATGATTCATCCTTAGCCTTGCATGTCTTACACAGAATGGAACAGATTGCAACTTCCCTTATTTTAATACTGAGGGTGGGGCCAGTGAGAGCTGTAGGTCCCACCCAGAATGCAAAATCTTATTTTAGCCAAGCAGTCAAGTTACCCTAGGCCGGTCGAGGATGGGATGAATGAAAGTCTAGCTTTCACTTCTTTAAGGCTTCTCCCCAATACCTCACTTTGGCTCTATTTTTGGATGATAGCAGATTTGTTGAGAGAAGGAAAATGACTTTGTGTAGGTTCTTTTCAGAGTACCCCTCAGTTAACCTGTTTGCTTCTTGGGGGCTATTAGTTACCCTAGCTTCCATCTTGAGGCTTTCCATTCCTACTGAAAATAAATGGGTAAAAAACAAACCAGCAGCTTTTGATTATGAAATACTGAGTCATTGTAGTAAGAATTTGAATTAGGTTACTAACCAGTAACTGGTCTACCTTTTTGTGGTAGAGAGAAGGGTAAAAGTGTGGAATTGGAAAAGAACTTGCCCCAAATTACATTTACAGGTCACCATTTCACTGGAAGGGGTTCAGTGGTGGCTCATTTTCCACTTTATCTCTGGTTTTCATTGGTTCTGCCCTCAGTGAAATCACTGGCAGGAAATTACATTTCATTCATATTTATTACTAACTCAGTGTGAGGCAACATCTAGAAGAGTTCTGTATATTTCTTAAAGTCTCTTGCAACTTTACAGGGGGAAATATTGTGTCTACTGCAAGACTGGTTAGCAGCCACACAATGAGGGCATTTGTTTTATTTGGGAAGGGGAGGAAGGAAAAAGTCAAACCTTTTTACTAGTAAAAAATGAGGTTCATTGGGGAGAGAGAGAGGGAGAAAGAGAGAGAGACAGAGAGAGAGAAGCTTCACAAGGGTGATGATAACTCACTTATTTGGGGCTTTCAAGTTCAAAAAGCACTTTCTTCACAGTGATCCCATTATATAGGTAGAGCAAGTATCATTATTGTACAGATGGAAACAGAGAGATAAAGGGACATGCCTGTAATTACATGGCTGGTAATTGTCAGAGCTGGGATTTAGACTCCCAAGTCCGTTACCCTTTCCATGTAACTGACAACCATGGCGATATTGATGGGAGGGAAGAGTTGTCATGTGTGATATCAATAGATTAAATATTTACTGTGTACATAACCCTCTACCCTTTGCAGTAAGTGTTGGGAGTGGGGAAGGCTTACATTTGTGAGTAGTTCAGGAATACAGTGATCTCTGGAACAAAAGCTTGTGGGCTTTAAGGGCACTCTTTCTGAGCAGCTTATCACTTGGGACTTTTCCAGATGCTGGCTATGAATTTGATATCTGCTTCACCTCTGTCCAGAAGAGAGCAATTCGTACCCTTTGGACAGTACTAGATGCCATTGACCAGATGTGGTTGCCTGTAGTGAGGACTTGGCGTCTCAATGAGCGGCACTATGGAGGTCTGACAGGTCTCAACAAAGCAGAGACAGCTGCTAAGCATGGTGAGGCCCAGGTGAAGATCTGGCGACGATCCTACGACATCCCACCACCTCCAATGGAGCCTGACCACCCCTTCTACAGCAACATCAGCAAGGTAGAGACTGACTCAGGTTTGCTCCTGCAGATTTAGATCATTACAGGTCAGGTGACCAGAATGTGGTTCTTTGCTTTTAGAAAAATAGGTGGTGTCTCCTGGAGCTTAGATAATTTGTTGGATTCAGTGATTTCTGTTTGTCAGTTTAGCTGAGCCATGTCCACCAGAACAGATGACTTGAAAAATGCAGACATTCTTTTTCATGTTAGTCTGGACAAATGAAAAATGATTCTTTGGGAAATTTCCTGTTGCAATGGTGTATTAACATTTATGCTCCTCTTCCGGCACTTAGAAGTGACTGAAACAGTCAAAGCTCTGGCCAGCTTGGATTACTCTTTAACTGGACTTGGCTTCTTTTTTTTTTGCTCAGTTGTGACTATTTACATCCCTTTGAGAACTAGCATTATGAGAGGTGACAGTCAATTCCTGGTTCCTATCCTGTTATTTCTTCAATTTCAAACACATCTTCTATTACTTTGGGACCAGGCGTCAGCCTTAATTGAGGGGGTTATATTCTAGTTTACTGAGTTTTATGGGGATTTCCTCTGTTAAAAGGCTGCACTCTGCAAATTATATGGATATTTCTTTTCACTTCGCTTATCATATCAGATGAAATAGTTGCCAGCAGCATTTTTAAGTAATACTCTTTTGGCTCTCAAAGGCTGAGTTTATATCAGTAATATAATGTCAGAAGACTTTATATCTCTCTCCCAACAGTCTGGAATTTAACGTAGTACTTTCAGAAACATTCTACAGAAAACCAAATGCCTTTATGCATGTTGGCACCAAAAAAGTACCTGAAAGAGGCTGGAAGAGAATTATTGGCCTCATGTGGGGCCAGGATAAGAACCTAGAAGGAATAGATTGATTAGGTTAGTTTTAGGAACCTCAAAGACCCCCTTTGCCTGCCAACACGTTTTAAATGTGTGTATTTTGGAATCTGGAGTCGAGAGAAGAGATCCATACTAGAATAAAGAAGTGCAAAAATGTACTCCTTTTTGGTTTTACTTCACTGCCCTTCCTATGAGTCCCTGATCTGTTCTTCTTAAATACTTAACTGGCATTTGGAAGTCAGGCATCAGAATGTCACCAAATGACAATAAGCGCTTTTGGGTTAAGGAGTAGTCTTGGTGTCAACCAAATTCATATGGAATTAGAGTTTTTTGACCTTTTTGGTGAGAAATTAATGTTTATCTCCAGGACCGTCGCTATGCAGATCTGACCGAGGATCAGCTGCCCTCCTGTGAGAGCCTGAAAGACACCATTGCCCGGGCTCTGCCCTTCTGGAATGAGGAAATTGTCCCCCAGATCAAGGAAGGAAAGCGTGTTCTGATTGCAGCCCACGGCAATAGTCTTCGGGGGATTGTCAAACATCTGGAGAGTATGTCAGTTTGCTATATTGGGACTAGAGCTCTGGGGGCAGGTTGGAGGGGGTGAGATAGAACTTGGTGAAGGAGGAACTTGGCAAACACCAGGACCAGTATGTGAAGACCTAAGTTCAGTGAAACCTCTAGAGGAAAAGTGACCTGGGTTAGTAGCCTCATAGATGCATCCTCACCTTTATTAGTTTTAAAATAAAGTAAAAAAAGCCACAAGAATTTTCCGAGCAAGGAAGGACTGGATCTGCTTTGGAGGACTGGGTTTGAATCCCAGCTGCAACCCTGGGCAGTCACTGCCGTTCTCTGGGTCTTAGGTTCGTCATTTGTAAGAGGAGAGGGTTCAGTTCAACAAGCTTTTGTTTAGTCACCGTGTTTGTGACAAAACTGTTATCCTGATTCCTCACTCTCCTTCACCCCATGTAAATAGCCAGTTTCTACCTCTTGCACTTTCTACTTCTGCAACATCTCACACATCTCTTCCTGTTTTTATACTCCCACATACAGCCACCATCTTTGTCCAGGCCCCCATCACCTCTCATCTGGACTATTGCAATGACCTAATAGATCTCCCTATAGAAAGCCTCTGCCTTCTCTAATCTATCCTCTACACATTTGCCAAGGTGGTTTTCCTTAAGCCTGGGTTCTGACCATGTTACTCTTTTCAAACTCCAGTGGCTTCCTGCTGCCTCTGGGATCAAATATCAGCTCCTCTGTTTTTGCCTTTTAAAGCCTCGAATATCCTGGCTGCAGCTATTTTCCCCAGCCTTATTTTACATTCTGACCCTTCCTGTATTCTACAGCCAGCCACACTGGTTGTCGTCTTCATCCTTGGCACTCAATCTGCTCTCTTTGTACTGGCCATCTTCCATTCCTGGGATACTCTTCCTTCTCATCTCTACCTCTGGCTTCTGGAGGCCTTTCCTTGCCTTCCAACCTTTTAGGGGCAAGTGCCTCTCCTCTGAGTTTATCTTTGATTTGCCTTGTCTGTATCCTATGTGTACAGTTGTTTTCTTGTTGGTGCTCTCGTTATAATTTGGAGCTCCCAGAGGGCTGGGACTTTATTTGTCCTTTTTTTATCCCCAACACTTAGTTCAGTACCTAACATAATCCCGTCTTTTTTCAAGATTCACCTTAAGCACCATCTGGTACACAAAGCCTTCCCTGATGCCTGCCCCAAATGCTAGTTCTCTCCTTCCCTGACTCTCTTCTACTGACTCTTGTATTAGTTTGCATATACCGTGTGCGCGCGCGTGTGCACACACACACACACACACAATCTTCTCCGTAGAATGTAAGCTCTTTAAGTGTAAGATCTGATTCTTTTTTGTATTTATATTCCCCTGGCCTAGCACAGAATGTAATACATAGTAGGTGCTAAATAATTGTTTGTCGATTGAGTAACTGGTGTGCTAGGCTCTGAGAATAAAAAGAAAAAAACAGCCCCTGTTCTCAAAGAACTCTAGAATTCTACTTAGGGGGTGATGGAGGGGGGGAGATACAGACAACAAAATGTATACAAGAATATTGTAAGGGATATCGAAGACGGAGGAGGGCTAGTAACTGAGGGGCTCATTACTATATTCCCTCATTGAGGAGGTGGCACTTAATTTGAGCCTTGGATGAAAACAAGGATTCTGAGTGCTGGAGTTATAAAAAGAGGCAAAAGACAGTCCCTGCCCTCACGAAGCTCACAATCTAATATACAAATGAGCTATATACATACTAAATAGGAAAGAATTAAGAAAGGGAAAGCACTAGAATTAAGAAGGTTGGGAAAGGCTTCCTATAGAAGATAGGACTTTAGTTAGGATTTGAAGGGAACCAGGGAAGTCACTAGGTGGAGATGAAGGAGAGCATTCCAGGCATGGGGGTCAGCCAGAGAAGATGCCTGGAGCCAAGAGATGGAGTCTCTTGCTAATGGAGGGCCGCTTAGGCCTTTGAGGAAATCATTGCATCGAAGTGGGCCTGTTTCCACTGCAAAACAAAACGGTTGGACTAGATGGCATTGAAGGTTCCTTTCAGCCTCTAATTCTGTATGGTGGCATTTTTAGGTCTGTCTGAAGAAGCAATCATGGAGCTGAATCTGCCCACTGGCATTCCCATCGTGTATGAGTTGGACAAGAATCTGAAACCCATCAAGCCCATGCAGTTCCTCGGGGATGAAGAGACCGTGCGCAAAGCCATGGAGGCTGTGGCAGCCCAAGGCAAGGCCAAGAAGTGAAAAGCAGGCTACTGGCACATGCCAGCAGTAGCCAGGTCCTTCCCTTCTCACTATCTCTACCACATCCTTCCCCCGCCTGTTCCACACACTGACCATCGCCTTAGGGATCACAACACGTAGCTGCAGGTGGGGGACTGATGATTCCTTTTCTCATTTCTTCCTCCCTATTTCAGACCAGTTCTTTTCTCTCCTGTTGCCCTTCCCCTCAACCACATTAGTCAGAATGCCTCCTGGGTGGTTTGGCTCAATAAGGATCTTGTTAGGGATTAGGGATGGAGACATAGTATGAAGTGACCAATGTGGGGAGTTGAAAGAAGCAGTTGCTCCAGTTATTCCTATGAGCCAGTCCTGCCAGTAGGGCAGTCCTCTCAGGGGCTGTTGTAGGAAGCTGCCTATAACCCAGGTGGTCATTTAATGAATCATGAAAGTTTTATTTGGATGTTTCCTCCCTAATCCAAGAAAAATGGATCTGGGAGGTTGTCCTAATGTTTACTTGTATTTGCTTTCACAAAAGACCCTTCTAGGCTGGTTATTAATGGCTTTTGAAATTAAACTGTCCCACTTGGTAGTCATGAGATCTCAAGCGAGTCAGAGAAGGGAGAGTTCTTTGATTTCTAAGGGGTGGACAAGTATATCCCACTGTGTTTTATAGTCCCTGCTCTGTTCTGTGGCAGTGAAATGCCCCTAGATCATGTTGAAATGTGTCTCAGTGTCCAATTGTTTTCCACCTTAAGTTCAGCCACCTGGGTCCTTATCAGTTTTAGCATAACTGGGTACTAACCCTGCCCCCCCGCCCCTTTTTTGTTGTTCACTATAATAAAGGAGTGATGTGCAATACTTCTGTGTGCTATGTATTGTCTCTTGTCTCCCAGGAAAGCCTTAGCACAAATTAACTCTTCTCGTCATCATTCCAGGCTTTATTTTATGGCACATTATGGCTTTGACAATCTCTAGAAACGAAGTCTCATAGCTTCCCCTTAGCAGAGTTTTTACCAGATACAGAGAGAAAACTGCCTAAGGTATCCTCAAATACCAGGCTGTTTCTTCTGTTACTATGCAAAGGATTCAAGGGAAAAATCTCTGCATTTTGACTCAGACGTAGTAGTCCCAACCCGACTCATCCTAGGTGGGGAATCATCTGAATGTTAATACGCCTCTCTTAAAGCAAAGTGAATTTTGGGGTTGGGATCTCAGACCCTCCATCTGAAAACAAATCCCTCTTTAATATTCTTGATAGATGGGTAGTTATCTAGCTCTTGCTAGAAAATCCAGTGATGGGTTTTACTTTAGTTTGAGACTAAATCTGTGTGAGACCTTTACTCTGTTTATTGCTTTGACTTTCTTGGCCTTTTAGGGCCAAGAAAAAATTTAATCCTTCCACAATATAGTAGTTTAAATACATTCTATAATATAAGCAGGCAATTGACTGAGATTACAGTGTCCAACTTGACAAAGCTTAACATACATGCAGTTTTTTATTTCTAGTTATTTCACTCCTAGATTATGTGGCAGTGGAAAAGCACTGGCCCAAGAGAGTCAGCATTTATTAAGTGCCTACTGTATGCCAGGCACAGTGCAAGCACTGGAGATACAAAGAAAGGTAGAAGACAGTTCTGCTCTCGAGGAGACAACATGCAAACAACTGTATCTTGTACAAACAAGGGATATACAGGATAAAATTGAAATAATCAACAGAAGTAGAACTCTGGAATTAAAAAGAGCTGGGAAAGGTTTCTGGTAGGAAGTGGGATTTTAGCTGGGATGTAAAGTGAAATAGGAGATGGAGAAGAGGAGGTAGAATATTCCAAGCCTGGGGGATAACCAGCAAAAACGAATGGAGTAGGTAGGTAAGAATATCCTGTTGGAGGAGTAGAAAAGAAGCCAATGTCATTGGATTGAAGAGTATTTGGAGGGTTGTAAATTGTAAGACTAGGAGGTGGTTAGAGGTTGGGGTGGAGGAGAGGTAGGAAAAGGTTATGAAGGGCATTAAACACCCAATAGAATTTTATATTTGATCTGCAGGTGATTGAAAAGGAGCCAAAGAATTTATTGTGTAGCGAGATGACATGGTCAGACTTTTGATTAAGGATGATTGCTTTGAAAGCTAAGTGAAGGATTGACTGGAGACAGTTTCAATGACATTAAGATGCCTCTCCGTAGGACATTTCAGTCCTACCAACCTAAGATGTGATGGATGAAACAAGCCATAACTTTGAGAATTATGCAGTGAAACAACTTGAAATGAAGGATGATAGTATCCTGAGGGGGGATACAAGTGGAGTTGTCATTTTCATGGAATCTAAAAAAAGGATTAGAAAGAAAGAAACTTGTGTTTCTATAGTACTGTCCATTCCCATTGTCACAGTCTTTATTCAGGAAAGCACTAGTCACTAGGACTACTGCAATAGCCTTCTAATGGATCTTGACTTTCTCCCTTGTCCAATGAACCCTTTCCATTGTAGCTACATTAATTTGTTACCCATTGACTCATAAACATTAAATGGCTCCCTATTTTCTACCAAATCTAAACTCAACTGGACATTGAAAGCTTTTCAGGATTCCATGGATCAGAAAAGTCTTTTAGTAAAAATGCTTTATTTGTCTGAAGAAAACAAACAAGCCACATTTACAGCACTATCAGAGGAGTAGGAAAGGAATAGGAAATCACTTTGTTGGCTGCTTCTAACATCAGACGTTTTTTTTTGCTGGCATCTCAAAGGGGAGAGAAAATCCATCTGGGATTTGTGGTGAAAGGCTCAGGAATAATCCTCCATATACAGTGGAAGCTTCAGGCAGTTATTTCCAAATGTGGTTTCTGGTAAGCCCAAGTTCTTTTTGTTTTGATCATATGTGGATAGCAGGAAACGGACGCCCCCAATATGGGGAAAGGATGTAGCTACCTATGTCTGCAGGAACTCAGGCTGTACTCGTGCTACTTTGCGGAATTCTTTAGTGTGTGTCCTGGGGCACTGCATCTCACACCAGCTGATGGGTACCATCTGGACACCTGCTGGAGAAAAGTTCCGAGTCAGCCAGGGCGTGAAACTGCAAAAACATCTCTATACTACTTATTCCAGTATCTCACCATTCCAGTGAAGGGCTCTTGTATCCCTATATTAATAGAAAGATTTACCACACCTTCAAAAACAGCTCCCCCAATGCCATATGATAGATAATTCAAAAGGCAGGTGATGAGAAGAGAGAGATATTTTTGTCCCAAACCTCTGCTGCAAGAGATTGAAAGAGGCAGTTTTTAGTGGAATATAGCAGCAATGATTCACCTGATTCACTGTGGGCCACCACCACTCCCAGCTCATTTTCTGCAGTTGTCAACAGGTAGTTGGACTGTGCATCACCTAGGGAAATCTAGTCATGTGTTTGGTTAAGGAAAATATGTTAAGCCAAAAAGCCTTTTTCCTTCAGTGAGAAAAAAGGCTTCCCTCTCTTGCCACTTGGGCTTTCCTGACTACAGATCTCTTCTTCCCTTCACAAAAGAGTGGCATGATGCAAGGATCTGAGACAACTCCAAAAGACTCACGATGGAAAATGCTATCCACATCCAGAGGAAGAATGATGGAGTCTGAATGCACATGGAAGCATACTATCTGCTCTCCTTTTCTTTCGTTGTTTTGCTTTATTGCTTCATTCTCATGGTTCCTCCCATCAGTTCTAATTCTTCTTTACATCATGACTAATGGGAAAATATGCTTAAAAAAACAAACCGACGTGGACAGTGATCAAGGATACCACTTTAGCCAGCACGATGTCCCCTGGGCGGAAACTCTTATATATTTCAACCTTCAAGGACAGAAATTAACAACTTATTAAGTGCTTATTTTATGTTGGACACAGTTCTAGGGCCTTGCCCTCAGAAGAGCTTACATTCTGGGGGTGGGGACATGACTATACAAAATAAATACAAAGTAATTTTTGGCAGGAAGGCACAAGCAGCTATGGATATCAGGAAAGGCTTCACATTGCATTTTAGCAGTAGTTCTGAAGTCAATGAAGGATAACAGGTGGGGACAAGGTGGGAGGACATTCTAGGCACTATGGTTAGCCAGTGAAAAGGTACAGAGAGGGGCCAGAGTATTGTGACGAACAGCAAGGCCACTTTGCCTGGAATGCAGTATGGGAAAGGCAGAAATGTAGAACAAGGCTGGAAAGAGGCTGGCCAGGCTGGGAAAGGGTTTTACAAGCTACACAGAGACATTTATCCTAAGGGCAATAGGGAGTCAATGAAATTTACTAAATAGGGAAATGACATGGTCAGACTTGGACTTGAGGAAAATAATTTGAACAGAGAGTGAGGGTGTCTGTGTTAAGGCAAGGAGTAAGGGCTGTGTGAGTGGGAGAGATGCTACAGGGGTATAAAAGGCAAGTAAGATGACCAGGAGCATGCAGAGGCTCTAGCATAACACAGAAGCTGGCTGACTTGTTAGCAGGAGGCTCTAGCATAACACAGATCAGTCGTGTTCAGTTCACTTAAATGAATGAATGCCACCTTTGTATGGATTTTCCTAGTTCCAAGGGACTACAAGTACCATATGGAGCTAAGAAGTAATCTCTTTGCTTTAGAATTAACCATTTCATTTGAATTCAGTTCATTCTCTCCCAGAGGGTAGAAATCACATCTTAATCCCTTTTATTCTTTTTTTATTTTTTTTAAATCCCCTTTATTCTTAAAGGAACAAAGTATCTATTTGGAAATCCACAGTGCCAGGGCCTAGGATTCTGACCTAGCTAAAAGCTCCCACATCTGGTTTAGGGTTAGAACCCATAGTTAGGTTTGCAGAAATGTAAGTAAGTATTCTAGAAAGACATGCCCAAACTACAAGACAGAGCAAATTGTTCCTCTCTGGTCAATAAACAAAAAATTCACAGGGAGAAAAGGACTTGGGGCAATGTGGGAAGAGGGGAAATTATTACAGTAGCAGAAAGATGACAACTTCAGTATCACTGTAGGGCTCTTTCTCTTCTTTCACTCCTCAAAAATGGTCTTTGAAATCAATTACAATAATAGGAACTTTGAGATTCCCTATCTGTAAGGTTTTTTTTAATCATACCTTGTCTTTTTCAGTAGCTCGAACATCTTCCTTCCTGCAAGGAAATTTTTAAAAAAAGTTAATTCTTTGAGAGAATCAACTACTTGCTTTCTAGGGCCAAGGCTGGGGAAGAGCCAGAGCAGCTAGGAGTTGGGACAAGTCATATTTGTTATTTAGCTGCCACCCAGAGGCACAAGATGGAAACACATCCCAAGATTACACCTTGGGCTAAGACCCTATCTACCCTGTCACAAGAAGTGGAATAGAATAGCCACCAATTGTTCCCAGGGCTGAGTCTGGGGAGAAGGAAGTTTCAGGACAGCTAAGAAAGTATAAGAAAAATTAGCAGCTCCTCCAGGTAGAACTGGTAGAAAATGACTGCAGAATTATACAGAATCCTAGGATGGAAGAGACTTCCACAGATCAAAGAATAAATGACCTTGCCTCCAATGAAAAATGATCTGTCTCCCTTTCAGTGGAAAACTCAGGAAAAGCAACCCCTCTTGTCCCATTTCTAATCATTATCAGGGCTGGCCTATACAGATGCAATTACATGTAATCTTTTTTAATTTTTTCAAAAAATTTTTAGTTTTTAACATTCATGTTCATAAGATTTTTGAGTTCTCAATTTTCTCCCCCTCCCCAAGACAGTGTGCAATCTGATACAGGCTGTACATATTCATTAATATTAAACATATTTTCACATTAGTAAAGAAGAATTAGAACCAATGGGAGAAACCAGGAGAAAGAAGAAACAACAACAAAAAAAGAGCAAATACTATGCTTTGATCTGTATTCAGACTCCACAGTTCTTTTTCTGGATGTAGAACTACATGTAATCTTTTAAGGGAAATAGTGTCTAACATCCTTAAAATCACCTCTGGTTGGGCATATATCATCTTCATGCTTGTCAAACACATGCTTCAGTCAAATTTACTACCCTAGCCCAAACTTTCTCTGTGAGACAAAAGGGAAATCACAGAGATATGGAAAAGAAGCATGATAAATGTAGATCTGTAATATTTTGTTAAAAATTCCAGACTATTTTGAAGCAAAATAAAGGAAATTTAAAGTTTCCTACCTGATAGTTCCTCTAAAGGAGTTCTTGAGTGGTGTGGATCCCACATACAAGATATGTACTTTGGCAAAGCGAGAATTAATGCTGGAGACCTGTGCCATAGAGAAGATAAGGGATGGATTAAAAACAGCAGCTGTCAGATAAAGAAATCCTAGTGATATATGGCAGAGAATCCTAAACCAGGAACTAAGAGAAATAGGTTCTACTCTTAGCTATCCTATTAACTAGGTGGGTTACTTGGGCAAGTTAGTTAATTTCTGTTTCATTTTTCTCATTAATAATTTGGGGAAAGCAATATCTGCCCTATTTCAGAATATCTAATGAAATAATATGAGAGCATGTTGAGACATATAAAGGCATCATACAAGTGTAAGGCATCCCTGTAGGCTTGAACCCTTGGACAATTGATCCGTGGGCCTTTTGGGACCCTAAAGAATCAAGAAAATAGACTTAAAACTCTGAAATGCTTTATGCTGTGTTTTCATTTGTAAAATTAAGACTGTGATATTTGCACTATCTCACTGAGTTCTTGTGAAGATTGGAATAGCAATATATAGAAAACATTTTATAAACTGCAAAATGTTATACAGGGTGTTCTGAAAGTCTAAGTGAAGTTTAAAATTATTAAAGCTTAAAACTGCACTAAACCTTTTGGAATATCCTGAATAAATGTGAATTACTACCACTGCTCTTCAGTCTGGCTCAACATTACAAGACATACGCTCTTCTGCTACACTTAACATTACTGTAGCCTTCAACCTAGAGCTTTAGTGACACAAGATGAATTCATACTTCCTTTCCTTAAAAGTGCCTAATGAGATCTGAAATTCACTACAACCTCTGAATAGTAAGAGTTTTTGCTTTTGGTTCTTGTCTCTAAAGAATAAATCTCCATCTTTCAAAGTTCAGAATGGGGAAGCCTTACTGAGAAGGAAAATGATAAGTTCTCTGTAAAACAGGATTATCTTTTTATCCGGCTGGCGCGCTGAGGGATGGATGGAAAGCCCTTGACCTCGGGCACTTGGGAGCTAGGGAGGGTGGCGGGCATGACGTACCTTGCAGGTTACGATCGTTCCCACATCTGGCAGCAGCTGGGACTCGGTCTCTCTCGTCACCGACACCACCGGAAGCTGCAGAGAAGACGAAGAACAGGTTCATGAGCTCTACTCAACACCAGCTCAAGGGGGCTGGGGCTCGGGGGCCACAGAGCGGATTCAGGGAGGCTAAGGACCACTGGCTCGGTCTGGTGGCCGGCCACTGGGCAGGCTTTGGGGATGCAAAGGCCTACGGGGCCCCCCGGCGTGGGCAGTCCGCTGCGCCCACCGCGAGGCCCCGGGAGGCCGGCGCGGGACCGGGGGCGCGGCCGGCCTCACCTCGCCGTTGTCGCTCGTCTTCACCAGGCAGCCGGAGAGCGAGGAGAAGATGTAGCCGTGCCGCGTGTAGGTGCCGCTGCCGGGGCTGGCCTCCTCCAAGTTACACAGTCGTTCGCCTGCGGAGGACAAACGCGGTGTCCATCCTTCCCATCCGGCCCCTGAGCTCACAGGGCCACCCCGGACGGCCGGGCCCTCCGCGGCAGCTCGTCGAGTCCGGCCTCCCTCCCCCCCCCTCCCGCGCCTCACTCACCTGGGACGCAGTACCTCATCGACGGCGCCATAGCCATGACCTCCCAACAACCATTGCGGGAGGCGAATTGTCAATCCATTGGCCGAAACGAGCGCCGAGGGCCTGCGTAACAGGACTGCCAATTGGCTGTCGTACCACGTGGCGTCTCCGGGGCCACCTCAATGACTTCCCTCTCCTCCTAGAACTTCAGCTCCCAGGGTACCTGGAGAGGAGGGAAAGGGGGCGGGGCGCCGGGCTTCCCACGCTTGCGCCGTAGGGGAGGCCGGAGTGGTAGCGGTCCTGGCGCCGCTACCGGTGGGGGCGGGGGATGGTGGGTCTGGCTGATTGGGGCCGGGGTCGGCTTCGGCAGAGGCTGCTGTGAGCCGTGAAGGCTTCGGGGCTCCACTGGGTCATTGTCCGTCAGGCAGGAGGTAAGGGGGCCTCCAGGGTCTCAATCTCCTCCCCCACCTCTTTCCTTTCCCTCGGGATCTCGGGCCCCCAGCCGCTGGGGGCGTGGAAATACGGGGCGCGAGAGGGGTCAGTGGGTGCGCCTCTGCGTTCCGGAGCGTCCCTGAGGCGGGGGCTTCGTCCTTCCCAGGACACCTCCAAGTCCTCGGAGGGAGAATGTGTGTAATAAAGTGGAGGGGCTTCTTTATTCTCATCCCCCCTCTCCCCTCCTTCCACGTGAGCCCTCTGTGACCGAGCCTGCTTAAATGTTAACTTCGTTGCCTCCCCGTGTGCTCTCGGACACCCCTGCCTACCTGCGGGCCCCCAAGAAAGTTTTGCTTTTGGTCAAGGGACTTTCCTTTCTGTTGTGCTGTCCCCTCCAGCGCCCCACTATTTGCAGGGAGAGCCCTGCATCCTCAGACATTCTTTATCCAATGAGTTACCCGTGGACCTGCATTAATGGTCAGATATTGAAGTAACATGGCATTTTCAGTTTGTCTTTCTGGGGTGGTGGCCCTAGAAGGAACAAATGGGTGGGCAACGCTTCCCTCCTCGCTGCCCTTCCCCACATAGTATCCAGCAAATGTGAAGAGTGTAAATTAGATGTAGGATGACAAGTTTAGGGTCTGAGACAGGATTGTTCTGTGAGTAGAGATCAGAAACTGATTAAAGAGATGACTTCCTTGAGTTTACAATCTGTGGAGAGGGTTTCTGGTAACCCTGATATTAGAGGAATGGAGAGTTTTAGGGTAGTGCTATTTAACTTAATTTAAAGTCACCAATGTTTTTTTAAAAAGTTTTTAAAACAGTGTAGGCCGTTTTTTATTATCTGTACCAATTAAAAGAAGCAGTAGTTTATATAATCCAAAATGGGATTTAAAATTTTTGCTTAGTTTCAGGTTTTTTTGGTTTGTTTTTGCATTTGAATATGCCTGCTTTAAACCAAATGACAGTAGGGTCAGCTAGTTAGTAAGTATTTTGTAAGCACTTATTATGTGCTGGGCACTATGCTGTGATGGGGATAGAGGGCAAAAACACTGTTCTTGCCCTCAGGGATCTCCCATGCTAATGTGGGATCCATGTAAATAACAAGGTACCTATAAGATTTAAACAGTAAAGTTTAACAGTAAAGTTAAACAGTAAAGAGTAGATAGAATGAAATAATCAGAGAGAAGGCAGTAATAGGAGTAGGGGGACCAGGAAAGGCCTCCAACAGAAAATGGGATTTGAGCTGAATCTTGAAGGAGCTTCAAAGTTTCTATATTTTCTATCCTACAGTATTTTATTCCTGATTGCCCTGGTGTCAGGGAGTTGGAGAGCTTCTTGATCCATGCTGTGATAGATAGCATCACTTCTGACTGCTTCAAGGTTCTGGCTAGAGCAGTACTACTTACTGCTCGAGCGTGCTTGCTCTCCCTTTCTCGCTTTCTCTCTCTCTCACTCACTCTCTCACCCACTCATTACCTGTCATACTTTTCCTTGGGCAGGTGTGCAGGAGTAAAAGATGGAATATTTATATTTAAAGGCTTTTCTTGGGTGGGAGGAAGGGATGCTGATCCAGTTACTGAACTGAAACTGTGCCTAGATGTGCATTGACCTCCTCCAGTTTCTTCTGGGTTTCAGACTTCATTCTAAATAAATAAGTTAACAGGAGTTGAGAGCAAAGCAGCCCCTTCCTGCCTTCAACACGACAAATTAGATAATCTGCTCTTTGATAATAGACAGCCTTATTCACAAAATTAGTGTGGGTATCCACAGAGGTCTCTAGTTAAAAATATTGGTTGGGTATCCTTCCCCTTTCCATTGCTATGTTATTCCATGGCCAGAGAGAAGGAACACATTTGAAGATATTAAAGAATTTGGAGTGCGGGGGAGATAAGCTAAGAAGCAGATCTGTGAGGGGCAATCATTGTAGAGAAGGCATTTCTCCTTGGGACAAAGGGGTGTGTGTGTGGCGGGGACGGGGTTAAGAGAATCATTAGATTAATTTCATACTAGTGCAGGAAAGGACTAAATTTCGCAGGCCAGCTCATATTCTCAAGAAGGATCTGAGCCTGAGTAGTGGGACACAGGCAACCTTTAAATATGTGACATCCCCAGTATATGTCACTTCTAGATTGTAAATGAGATCATCTTACTACCCATATCTTGGTGGTCCCTTAGCCTCTGAATAGAGAGATTAGAAATGGTGTCAAGGTTTGTGTCATAGAAGAGGCAGGAGAAAGAACATAGGACTTAGAATCATAAGACCTTGACATGAAGTCAGTCCCTGCCACTTCCTGGCTGGGTGATCTTGGGTAAGTCTCTTCATCTGTCTGAATCTGTTTCCTCGTCTGTAAAATGGGGACAATCATATTTATTCTACTGGTTACCTCATAGGGATGTTTTGAGGATCAAAGAAGATGTATCTTTGTAACTACAAAGTGCTATATGAATTGATGTTCATAACATCATATGATAGTTGGGACTGACTGAAGAGATTGGAAACTTCAAAGCCTGGGAATTTCATACCAGGCTGAGGTCTCTGAGCCTGTAATAGCAGTCTTGAAGATGAAATCTGATAGCTTTCTCCACGGATATAGATGACATCAAAGATCTAGGAACAGGACCCACTCCAGAATGGTTTCACATCCTGATGTGGCTAGTCCTAGCTAAAAGGGTTAGTTGTCCGGGAATGGAAAGCACTAGAAGTGTGAGGTGAGTGGGAGAAGGTGAGCAGGAGGGAAATCTCCATCACAGGCAGCTTTCTCAACAGCTCTGCCATTGCTGAAGCCAACAGGCTTTGTCACGTTTTCTTCTTGCAGTGGTAATGCACTTGAGTGGTTTGTTGTTGTTTCTGTTTGTTTAAGGTTCCCTCTACCCTCTTGGTTCCTATTCTACAGAGAAATCCAGGGTAAGATTTTGCTTGGTGCTGGTCAATTCTTTTCTGTCCCTCTTGATGCAAAAGAGATGTCATTTAATGACCAGACTTCTCATGTTAGGAGTAAGCATTGTGTAATGGAAAAAAATGCTGGACTTAGATCTGGATTCAAATCCTAATTTAGATGTGATTCTTGTTGAGCTACTTCACTTTCGAGCCTGTTTCTTTAATCGGAAAGTAGGCATAATACTTGTATTACTTACATTTGGGAAGTTTACACAGTGCTTATGTGTTAAAAATATGAGTTACTATTGTGTGTTTGTATATTCAATTAAGTTTGATTCTTCAGACCTAAACATAGGACCTCTATCCTGTGGTAGTTAGTAAGTCATTAGGGGCAGGCTGAGTGTGACCTACAATGGTCCTTAATCGTCACTTTGTCACGTGGAAGCCAGGAGTTTGGGTGTTCACTGGCTATTTATCTTGCTGTAGGAGGCCATGCGAAGCCGCCGGTCCTTATTGCTGGGGCCAGCACGCCTATGCTTTCGTTTGCTCCTCCTCCTGGGCTACAGACGCCGATGCCCACCATTACTTCGGAACCTTGTACTTCGTTGGCGTTATGGAAAAGTCTGTCTGCGTTCTCTACTCTACAACTCCTTTGGGGGTAGTGACACTGCCATTGACTCTGCTTTTGAGCCTGTGTATTGGCTTGTTGACAATGTGATCCGCTGGTTTGGGGTGGTGAGTGTTCCCAGGATTGTATGGCTTGGGGTTAGCTTAACAGATACTGTGACCTCTTGGGTGGAAGGATGGGGAGAGATGGCTTTATTTGAAGACTCCACAAAAGACTTTGCAAAACTAGGTTGTATTTTTTTTTCCTCCTCTTGTACCTTAGTTGTGGGGTGCCATCTTTCCGTACTCCAGTAACAGCTAAGTATTGACTTCCTACCATTGGCAGGTCTTTGTGGCTCTGGTGATTGTGCTAACGAGCTCCATTGTGGCTATTGCCTATCTGTGTGTCTTGCCTCTGATCCTCCATACTTATTCAGTGCCCCGAATCTGCTGGCACTTCGTCTACAGTCACTGGAACCTCATCCTCATCGTCTTCCACTACTACCAAGCCATCACCACCCCTCCTGGATACCCACCCCAGGTAGGGCTCAGGGAAGGCACAGCAGGACACCAGGGTAAAACTAATAGACCAGCAAACCTAGATCCTAGCAAAGGGGAAGCAAGGTTTGGGAGCAGAACTCAAGCTCACGATGGAAAATGCTATCCACATCTAGAGAAAGAACTTTGGAGTCTGAATGCAGATGGAAGCATACTATTTGCTCTCTTTTTCTTTTTGTTTCCTCCTCGTAGTGATTCTTCCCATCAGTTCTAATTATTCTTTACATCATGACTAATGTGAAAATATTTAATATGAATGTATAAGTAGAACCTGTATCAGATTGCATGCCATCTTGGGGAGGGGGAGAAAATTTAAAACTCAAAATCTTATGGAAGTGAATGCTGAAAACTAAAAATAAATAAATAATTATAAAAAAAAAAAGACCCCTTCAGTAACTAAAAAAACTGAGGCCTTAACCCGTTCTCTTCCAATACAGGCTAAGACCGACCTTGCTACTGTATCTATCTGCAAGAAGTGCATTTATCCCAAACCAGCAAGAACACACCACTGCAGCATCTGTAACAGGTTGGCTTTTCTCATTGTCTCTCCCGTTTCCTTGCCTTTCTTTTGGCCGTTACTTGCCCTTTACTAGAGTCAGGTATAATCCCTAAAAACATCAACCCTTGTGGAGCACACGTT